GAAGATAGTCTGAAAATCATCCAGCGCCTCACGGTTTGTAGAGCATTTTTTCCATCAGTGCCATCAATTGGTGCTGTTTATTTTTGGTTAGGGGGGGGAGGTAGTTAGATTTTTTTTTTAATTAATTTTTTTAACTGAGGTACCAGGGATTGAACCCAGGACCTCACGCATGCTAAGCATGCGCTCTGCCACTGAGCTCTACCCTCCCCCTAATTGACGCTGTTAGTGCCAGGCTGTTGACTGAGTCCAGCTCCTTCTCTTGCTGTTCACAAGGAAACAGTGAGTGTTGCATTCAGTAAAGTCATCTGGGAAGGGAATCTGGTTACCATTAGCCCCGTGATGCTGTCTGAGGGTATGACTTTCTACCACCTTTATGCAAAAGTAAAACCTTTTCTGTCGATCAATATTCACTCAGTGAGCGCCAGAGATTCTGGGGTGGTGTCTCCAGACTGTGTCCACTCGACCCTCGCCCACCTGGGTTCGGAAATTTCTCACCATAGCTGATTCTGTAGTGAAATCGTCTCCAGGGCAACTGAGGAGGCAAGAAGGCATTATCTGCATCATTTTCTGTAAAAGAGCAGGTGACCAACACCTTAGCTGTACTCTCTTATATTCTATTTAGGGCAGCGTAAGTCACACCCACTGTCAGAGACGAGCCCTGAGTGAGAATCCAGCCATTGTCCTCGTTGCGCAAGAAGTACCTATAAGTCTCTTTTTTCAAGTCCTTATGTTTCACAGTTTAGTGTCTCCACGGGATGACAGCTGCTGTAATCTGTGCAGGATGAGAGAGAGACAGGCATGGGACGGTGTTTCCCACGGTCACCCTTCCTGATAATCAGCACCTACTGGGGAGCGATACGCCCCAGGACCCTCCTTTTCATAACCGAGAAAGTTCAGAATGAGGGTTACTCGTGGGTGAGCTCCCTTCATGCCAAGTATTGCTCCCCCCTCCCCTTTTTGTCTACACAGAAAATTCTCACCAGCCTGGAGCACAAAAATGGTGAGATCAAGCCAAAGAGTAGGAGGAGGTGGGGTCTCGTTTCCAGGTCGACAAAGGATTCCGATGACTGGGCTGACTTGGATGACTCGGATTTTAGTCCCTCGTTCACCAGGATTGACCTGAAAAACAAGAAGAGACAGAGCGAGGAGGCTCTCTGCAGGCAAGCGCGGGCTGCCGGGCCGCCGTCTGGGGGTTGTGAGCTGTCTTTCCGTGTGATGAGCATCTCAGCTCGTGCTGACAGGAGCCGCCCTCTCTCCATCCAGATTTGAGAGCGTTCTGGACCTGAAGCCCTCCGAGTCCGGGGGCGCCGGGAGTAGCGCCCCCACCCAGACGTCCTATCCCAGGCGCGACACACCCACCCTGCGGTCTGCGGCCAAGCAGCACTACCTGAGGCACTCCCGGTACCTGCCCGGTAAGAGAGATTCCTGCCTTTGCTCTGATCACTGGCAAGAAATCCTGTCCCTGGAGTCACATGTTCACAGAGATTCTCTTTCAGTCGGCAAGTGCTTGGGGCTGCTCTTCCAAAATATTTGCTGAAGCCGAGGCTTCACAGTCCTGTGTAGTTGCTGAAGATAAGAAATTTGGTGGGGGAAATTGGGTCCAGCCCCCGAGGAGGGAGGAAGCGGTCAGAGCCAGGCAGCTGGCCCAGGGTCTCTCCACCAAAACTGTCAGCCCCGTATGCTCTCAGGAAACCAGGTGGGAGCCTCATCACCCCATGTGGCTGGACTCCAGGGCTTAGGTGTAAACGCTGCAGTTGGAGGGGGCCCAGGTCTCTCTCCGAATTCTCCGTATTTCAAACTTACAGCATCAGCCATCTGTTCAGAGTCACTCCATCAGTAAGTAAGAGCACCTTCCGGTCTCGGCGCCGGGAATAGGGCGAACGAAATAGCTTAGAGGGGCCACTAGGTTGCCCAGCGCCAGGGCCCTCTATTTACATCGCAGTCAATGCAGTGACATTAGCCAGGAGCCTGTGGGCAGTATCGCCACCCCTGAGTTGTCTAATGGTGGAGACAGGCCTCAGTAAATGGACACACAGTAGTTACAGATGGTGACAAGTGGCATTAAGGGTGATGGAATGGAGGGGGTGGGGCACTGCTTTAGACAGAGCGGTGAGGGAAGGCCCTGGAGACTGGGAAGGAACTCCAGGTGGAGAGAGCCTCAGAAGGAGCACGCCGGGCAGAAGAGACGGCCAGTGCAAAGGCCCTGGAGGCAGGAAAGGGCTTGGCCCGTGAGAGGCCAGCATGGCCCGAGCGAGCGCAGTCGGAGATGGTGATGTGGTGTGAAGCATGAGGCGTCTTTGGGGTCTTGTAAGAAATCTGCATTTTAATTCATGAGCAACAGGAAGTTCTTGAAGGGCTATGCCTGGAGGAGTGACACCACTGAGCTATCCCCTCCCCCGCCAGAGGAACCTTCACAAATTGGGTTCTGCATTCATTTCATCTGTGACTTGTGGTGCAAGATTACCCGATGAATTTTGCGTCCTAAAAACATTTCTTCCCAATCAGGAATAAATATAAGAAATGGCATACTCCCAAATCCAGGCAAGGATTTTATTCCGTCGAATCCGTGGTCCAGTTCTGGTTTGTCTGGAAAATCTTCAGGGACGGTATCAGTGATCAGCAAAATAAATTCAGGTGAGTCCTGGTTATTAACCCCTGAATGACAAGAAGCAGATTGGATGCGGCAGAGTGGGTACAGAGAGACCAGGGTCACCACGAGGGCCTCCCTGGTGTGAAACCCTTGGGCCCCTTTTCCAGGCCTTTGCCCCTCTCTCTTGGCAGCAGGCCCTGCGGACCTAGCCAGCTCCCTCTGGCTCCGCCTTCAAGAGAAGCTGGGGAGGAGAGTGAAGTCTTCCCTGCCTCCAGGGAAAAAGCCTTACCGAGCCTGACTTCTGAGGCCCTGCTCCGTGTTGGGAGACCTCCAGAAGTCACTCTCCATGGGGTCTGCCTTGCTCTGACTTAGCCCAAGGCATCAGAACCCCTTCTAGTTGGAAGGTGGATGGTTTGGAAGGCCCTCCCCACTCTTTTTTGGTGAATGAATTTCAGAAGTCCTCCAGGCTGACGGACCTGGTTCCCAGTGCACCTGCTCCCCCTGCACGGGCAGCCCCCGCTGTGGGCTGCCTCCCCTTCTGCGTGCCAAGGAAACATCTGGGTTTCTCTTCCCCTTGCTTTGTCCATCATGTGTTCATTTATTCTAAGAAATACAAAAAAGAATGAATATACCAACATCCATGTACCTACCACCCAGCGTATGAAGTCAGACTCTATAAACACACACGAAGCCCAGTGTGTGTTTCCTTCCCTCTCTTTCTCTCTTCCTCTTCCTCTCCCTGACCCTGGACGCTCCCTGATTTGGGTGTTTATTATTTCCATGCTTTTAAATACATATATATATACCAAAAAAATACATAGTATGGCTTTCCATGTTTTCAGATTTATATGCATATAATCCTGCTCCACTTCATTCATTTTAGTGATTACATTATGTATGTAGCAATTATACATACATAGAATATGTGTCACACTATGTATAGAGGGTAGATACAGTATATGTGTGTATGATACGATGTGTGATTTTATTTATACTAGGACATAATTTTTTAAATTGAAGTATAGTTGCTGTACACTGTAAGTTACAGGGGTACAGTATAGTGATTCACAATTTTTAAAGATTATACTCTGTTTATAGTTATTGTAAAATATTGGCTATATTCCCCGTGTTGTACAATGTATCCTTCTGGCTTATTTTATAGCTAATAGTTTGAACCGCTTACTCCCCTACTCCTGTTTTGCACCCCCCCACCACCAATAACCACTAGTTTGTCCTCTATATCTGCTTCTTTTTTGTTATAGTCACTAGTTTGTTGTATTTGTTTAGATTCCACATGTAAGTGATACATAGTATTTGTCTTTCTCTATCTGGCTTATTTCACTAAGCATAATACCCTTCAGGTCCATCCACGTTGCTGCAAATGGTAAGATTTCATTCTTTTTATGGCTGAGTAATATTCCACTGTATGCCTATGTGTGCAATGGAATGTGAGATATACATGTATCACAACTTATCCATCTGTCTGTTGATAGATGCTTGGAACAGAATTGATTCAGCCCTTCTCTTCTTGACAAATGTGTGAGTTGGTGACAGTTTTTGCAGTCAGAGCACTGAAGTGAACATTGATGTCCCCTATTGTTGTGCACAAGTGAGGTGGCTCTGGGTGTGACGGAAGCTGGTGAGGTTAAAGCATGTGCTCACCTTCGACTTCACAGACGTTGCCCCGTTGCTGCCCAGCAGGCTGTGGGAGTCATGATGCATCCCTGGTGCCTCTGGGTACAGCTAAGATTGCAAGCGTGTGCTAATCTGAGGGTGTGCAGTGGCATCTAACTGGGGAGCAAGTCCTGGTGGCAAATGAGGCTGAGCGTCTTTTCTTGTGTTTCTTGACTCTCTGTTTTTTTCCTGTTGTGATTTCCTTCCAGTTCTCTTCCCATTTTTCTTCTCTGTCTATTCACCAACATTGCAAAATGTGCTCCAGCTGACCAGCCCAACGCCTCCCACGCCAGGTCCAGGCCGTTTTTCTCACTCTGCCTTATTAAGCAGTTGCCAAGAACGTTCTGTGTTGTGAAGACATGGAGCAACTCTGCTCCTCATAAACTCTTCCTAACAGATATAACTTCGATTGGTATAAGATTCTTCATTATTCCATGTGTACCTTTAAGCCTTAATAATTAGACTCATTATAGATATTAATTCAGCCATCCAGTGTGTTGATTACTTGCTGTATGTAAGGCTTTCCATTAACTGCCTAGAATCCTAAGATGCGTGCATACAGGTGCTGCCCTTAAAACACTCCTAAGGGGTTGGGGGGAGGGTACAGCTCAGTGGCAGAGCACGTGCTTAGCCTGCTTGAGGTCCTGGGTTCGATCCCTAGTACTTCCATTAAATAAATTAAATAAATATATAAATAAACCTAACTTCCCCCCCCAAAAAAACACTCTTAAGATGGAAATGACATGAAAAGTGGATGTATTTAATATAGCTTAATAATGGTTAGTTTTTCTGATATGGACAAGAATATTTCCTGTAGAATTACTTATAATACCGAAATAATTAACCTAACCTGTATGCTGATCAGTAAGAGAATGGTTAAGTGAGTTATGGTTCAGCCATAGCCTAGAATTTGTGTAAACTGATATGAAAAGCTAACTATTCTATATTGTGGAGTGGAAAAAAGAAAATTCCGGAACATGTTAAATCTATTATTCCAAAGAGAAAGAAAATTCCAAATCCCTCCCCCCATTTTTTTTTAACAAACCAACGCACCAGGCTCCATATGGGTACAGACCACAGGGGCAGCACCCCCCGCCCTGTCCCCTAGTCTTCCCGACAGTGTGGTGTGGGATGCTGTGCTCAGAAGTCACTGTTTTCATTATAATTCTTTTCTCCCTAAAAGTAAAAGCCTGATCCTGTGCTGTCCTGCTCCACTGTCCTTTACCCTGTTGCTGTCCTGTGCACGTCTTGTAACAAACTTTTCCTTTCTCAAATCAGTTGGTTCCTGCTCAACGAGTTCTAGCGGATTGGCTGGAAACTATATCCCTTCCTTTCTGAAAAAAGAAGTCGGTTCTGCGATGCAGAGGGTCCACTTGGCCCCTATTCCCGACCCTTCCCCTGGTGAGTTCTATTTTGGATTATTCATGAACAGCTGCTTTATGCCAGGCCTGGAAGTCCTGGGGTCCACGAGTGCAGGAGACAAACTCCCCTGTCCTCTACAGACAATAAGTAAAGCAAATAAGATGCTCCAAAGTGCTAAGGAGAAAAATAAAGCAGGAAGGAAGTAGGGAGTGTGGGGCTGGAGTAGAGGGGTGCACAAGCACCTTCAGATAGGGTGGCCTCACTGCAGAGGAGCCGGCAAGTAAAGATCTGTGGGAGGGGAGTGAGCAAGCCGTGTAATGCGGGCTCTTAGTGCCCGGGCCTCAGGCAGGAAGAGCCTGGGAGATACAAGAAACAGCAGGGAGGTGGAGTACAGGTGTGGCGTGAACAAGGGGAGGGGAGTAGGAAGAGGAGGTCAGAGGGGGATCGTAGACTCCACAAGCCACTGTAAGTGTGTCATCCTTGACTCTGAGCCACGTGGGAGCCCCTGAAGGGTTATGAGCTGGGAAGGGAGGAGATCCAACTGCCTTCCAGGCTCACTCAAGCCCTGTTGTCACTGGACTGATAGGGTTAACAGGGGTGGCAGCAGGGAGACCCAAAGCTGGGTCTGGACCAGTGGTCATAGTTGCCCCGGGCCAGGTACTGGGTAGATCTGGAAGGCAGGAGGATTTGCTAACAAATTGCAAAGTTGGATCTGAGAAAAAGAGAGGGGTCAGGCATGACCCCAGTATTTCTGGCCTGACTGCCATACCATCAGGTTGTTCTTAGCTGGGAGAAAGGACTCTGAGGAAGAGGCACCTCTTGAAACTCTTTTTCTACATCTTTGTCACCGTGATGCTCTTATCTGCACTCTGTTTTCGTGGATCCATATCAGTCAGACCCACCTTGGGGGTGGGGGTATAGCTCGTGGTAAAGGGCCCGTTTAGCATGCCTGGGGGCTTGGGTTCAATCCCTGGTACCTGCATTAGGGAAAAAAATTTTTTTTAATTAAAAAAAAAAAATCAGACCCACTTTCTCTTTCACTGCAGGTTATTCTTCCCTGAAGGCTGTGAGACCTCAAGCCGGGCGACCTTTTTTCCACACCCAGCCCAGAAGCACTCCCGGATTGCTGCCCCGGCCTCCCGCCGCCCAGCCCGTGCACGGCCGGACGGACTGGGCTTCCAAGTACCCGCCTCGGCGATGACCGTCACCCAGCCCTTCGTAGGGGACCACGGGACACCAGCCCTCAGCCAGCTGGTGGTGTTTCACCTTAAGACTTTCAGATGGTGGAAAAGCCGAGTCTTTATAATTGTTCTTGAACTGAGACATTTCAATATTCTTTTTTAAAGTTTTTTTTTTAATATTGATTTGAATGCAATAGCTTTTTTTGTACAAAGTTATTTTATTCTAAAACTGGGTCCCCTTATTTTCTTAAACGGCAGGATTTTGTATATATGGATTATGTTTTAGCATTTTATACAGTCAACTTTGTAATGAACTTTTTAAAGATTAATTGATTTTCCTTTGGGGTTCCAGGTAATATTTTATACAGATTTTTTAAAACGTAATAATATTGATGCAGTATTGCAACAGGGGTGCAATTTAAGGCTACACGATAAAGGGTTATTTCCTTGATGTGTGCAGATATCTGTGAAATTTCCGATGTGGCGTATTCGGTACTTCTTGGACTGACCTCAGCACTAGAAAAGTGACTGCTGTTCTCAATTTCATGTTATTGGTTCGACTTTTTGATACCACTGGGCTGTTCTCAAAGTACTATTCCATGATTCACTTTGTTTTCTTTTTACTCCCCAGATGAAAGAACCCTAAGTAAACATTTTTTGAGATTTTCATAGCACCCTTTTTGATGGTTAGTAAAATCCAGCTGAAACCAAGCTATGCCATCACATTCTATTTTCCCCTGTTTCTGAAGTTCAAGGGTATAAGTACCCACAAAAGGGAAGCTTTTCAAGCCAAAATGTTCTCAACATAAAGGTTAATGCAGTCACTTTAATGTATATCCCTGCAAATGTGCATGATCTGAAAGCAGCTAGGTTTCAAAGCAGCAGCAGATTTTATAAGATCAGAACCCATAGAATTTTGCACCTAGCTCAGTTCTCCAGTCCTCTAGTCAAATTTTTATGGCAATTCGGGGGAGCAGGAAAGATGGATGGCAGAGGTCCCACTGGTCTGGGAAGTCACAGTTACCATGATGTCGCTGTCTGTCACATGCCACATTCGAATTCTTAACCCTGGTGTAGTTTCTTTCGACAGTGAGAATTCCATTTGTCGGGCAGAGGCGGTTCCACAGAGAGGAATGTTTACAGCAATTTAGAAAATGACAAAGCTGGTTTGGAGATAGAAAAAGACAAAAGGTCCACTCTCCTCCGTCTCTGTGGGGCACCCTCGCCTCCACTCACGGTTTCCTGAAAGGCTAGAGGGAAGGTCACGGCCAGTAAGTGCAATGTGGTCTCCAGATCGTATTGACTCACCTTTTCCCAGGGCTCCAGCCACTCTCGTTTGGTTCTAGGTTCCAGGAGTTGAGCCAATGACATTGTCATTTCGATAGGTTAACATGCATATTGGTACTTTGAGATGGTTCAAACTAATAACTTGGTAAATTTTTGCATTGCTGTATTAATAACACGTTGCAGCTTGAACAAATCACCACGGTTCCCAAAGGGCCCTAACCTAAAGTCAGTGAGTAATGTGTGCTTTGGAGAGTCTGGCTCCAGAATGTACTTGACCAAGTACCATGATCCCTGGGGGCATAAGAAAAGCACATGATGGGTGTGGATCTGAGATGGAATATTTTCCTGTTACCAAACTGGCGGCAAAGCTTCAGGAAATAAATATGTACATGTAAGCACAACTTGAAGCTGGATTTATTTCTGTATTATCTTCTTAACTCATTATCTAAAGCAACAGAAAATGTGTTTTCAGAGATGAGTCCTTTACTGTGAGGTTAATATTTATATCCCCTTTCTGTGTTGTGTATAAAAAGTAAGTTAATCTGAAACCTTACCCAGCTCGCTGGAAAGCTGGTTTTAAATTGTAAATAGGCCCCAGAGAAGCCGCTGGGTTGTGAATACTGTATTCTTGGCCCTAGTTTATGTTAAGTCCTTTTTTTTTTTTTTTCAATTGAAAAACCTAGTTACCTGGCTATTACACATTATAAACTTGTTTTGCTAATATTTTTTGTCGGATCCAGATTCAGAAAATATTTCACTTTTCTTCTTTTTCCTCTTTCCTTTGTTTATCAGCAAATAGCTTCCCTTGAGAAGCCAAACACATTCAGTCATTTGAAAGTCAAGTAGCTGACCTGCCATTGAGAAAACAAGAAGGCTGAAAAAATAATGTCTGTTCTGAAGAGCTAGCAAAGTCTGTACTCTTTTTTTTTTTTCCCCTCTGAAATGGGTAAAGGATAAATTGTGTCTACAAGCTGTTAAGTGGAAAATGAAATGGCACCTGGTATGTATATTTTCGGTTACTATAGAATTACAAAATGTATCGCAGGGCACCAAGAGGAATGATGAGTTTATCTGCACCTGTCCCCCGCTGTACCTCATTTCTCACCAGAAGGCTTTCTGGAAAAGGTTCAGTGACAATGAGTATGAGCCAAGGAGTACGTGTGCGGGCTGCAGGGCAAGTTGCCTGAGCATAAAAGGTACTCTAGGTAGCGCTGTTCATTTTACAATAAACTGCCATTAATTACTAAGCGCTCCCCCAGCTCATGTACGATTTTAGCAGGAAGAAAACTGATTTTCAAGCAATTTTTTTAGACACATCTCTTGTCTGAAGGACTATCTATGTCCAATAAATGACGCTCTGTCATCTTCCGGAGTTATCAAAGATCGATGCATTTACTGGTACTGTTCAAGTTCACGGGCACCGTGTTTTCTCATGAAGTGGCATCAAGCCATTGTTTTGTGCCATTTAAGAGAGAACAAGACCCAGGCTGCACATTTCAGCTCAGTGTGTGACCCAAAGCAATATGTTTATACGAAAATGTCTGACATACTGATTTTTTTGTATCATTTAAAGCATACTGTAGCAACTTGTTTGTTTAATATATGTGGTTAATTTTTAGAATTACGTTTACAATTTCCAACCAAAGTACTGTACTTTGTATAATTTATTGTGAGGACCTTCTCATGGGAACCAACAGAAGACAAACTGGGGGCAAATATCCCATGAATCTGTATTATCAGTTTCTCATAGACACTGTGCTAATGTGAGTTTGAAACAACCTGAACAGTCTTTTGATCACTGATATTTCAGATCTGACAGCAATTTAGTCACCTGATTTGATTATAAGGGACTAGCTAAGAATATATTTATTTATAAAGCAAATACTCATATTGAAAAGATGGGAGGATGGGAAACCACGTACTCAAGCCCCTTCTGAAATAAAACGCTCTTTTTTTGAACAGTTTGTCCCACGGTGTTTAAAAGCGTTAACTTTACTTAAGGAAAATTCTGCTTCAAATAAAGTTACAGTTTAAGAAAAATTGATTTGAGTGTTTGGTTTTTATTTTTATGTTCTTCCATCGAGTGGTAATGGTACTATTTCCTAATTTGGAATTTTGGTATTTTGTAACTTCTCCTGAACGCTTAATACAGTGATTGAAGTGAAATTGGAAGCAGACAGACCAGCATAGCAAGAGTTATCCTGCAATGTGGAGGTTTTTTAAATTTAGCTTTTAGCGAGTTGAGGGACTGAGAATATTTTTTTAAAAATAAGCAAGTCAGAACAATTTCTTGTTGCTGATTTCATCATGATTAATATTCATCTGGTATTTTTCTAGTTTTCATCATATACTGACAGGTACAATATAAACCTTCAAAAGAAGCTCCTAACTTCATGAATTCCATACAGGATTTCACGGGAAATTCATTTCCCAACCATTCTTTGAATCTTTGAAAGAATTTTGAGGGAACACGTTTACCAATCAACCTTGTATGGGTGAATTCGTAGATGTGCCCTTCTCGATCAGAATACCCCGACCTGACCGTGTAATCATCCCATCAGTGTAAATTCTTGGCATATATACCCACCTTGCCTCTTCCAGCCAGCCTTCCTGCTATCAAAACTTGCTGTTATAGATAAAAAACAAATTTCTTCTGTATAGCACAACAAACTATATTCAGTATCTTATAATAACCTTTAATGAAAAAGAATACGAAAACAAATACATGTGTATATATGCATGACTGGGGCATGATGCTGTACACCAGAAACTGACACATTGTAACTGACTATACTTCAATTGAAAAAAAAATCCTGCTGTTAGACTAGGGTCTGATGTAGTCATTCATAGCTAAGACTGTATTTAACCGTATGTTTCCGTCTTCCTGGGGCATTTAATTATAAGAGCTTCTCTTACACTGAGAGTTAAAGCTCCTGATTTTTGTTAAGGCCATTTTGCCTGCTGCTGAGTGGGTGGGGGAAGGATCAAAGGCTGAGATGAGGTCCTAGGGCCTCTGAACATACATATCAGGCAGGTAGGTAGATAGGTATTGTAAGACTGTCCCAGACTGAGAGTAACACCAAGGGTCTCCAAGAACAGAATGGCTTCAGGGTTTTCCAAGGAGCAGGATGACCTAAGGATACCTGTCATGGAATGGCAGAATTATTATAACAGGACTTTTTATTTCTCCACAAGCCTGTGTAATGACAGAGTCATATGACACTGCCTTAGTTTCTGCTTCAGGTAAGCAAGATTGCCAGGATTTATTTCATTTATCAGGCTGGATGTATAAAGGGTCCACTTTTGTAGGTTAAAAAAATAGTAAAATATCAACCAATATGATATGATTCAACCAATTACAAATAAGGAAATGGAGATAAATGTTTGGCTTATCAACAAAGCTGAATACTAATGCCTGTCCTATCTAGCTCGATGAAAGTGAATTCTCATAGAAAGGTGGGTTGGAGAAGGTTAGCAAAGAACGATCACCTTCAGCAGGTTTGGAAAATGTGGCTTCCTGCCCATGTTAAACTGAGGAATCTCTATGATAGGTCAGAATTAGATTTAGAAAGATGAAATGGAACATATACTGTTATTTGCATATGAAAGTGACTTTCCTGACTCTCAGGATGCCCAGTTGTTCTTGCTTTGCTTCCTTCTTACTTAACATGCTCTGTCTGGGTAAGCTCACCCTTTTGCTGCAGCTTAACGCACCTCAGTCCTTTCTTCTAACTCATCACTGGCGTAGTGGACAGTTCCAGTTGGATGGCTCATAGGAATGAAAGACAAATCTACTTATTATTATTTCCCCCAAACTTTATGGAGCTAGAAAGCAAGGTATTCATTCATTCTTTCTTTCTTTCTTTTATTCTTTCATTCATTCTTTCAACAAGCATTCTCTGAAAGCCTTCTCCGTACTAAGCATTATTCTAGAAACAGGATACAAAGAAGTATATTTCCAAAAATATGAAAATCCCTAACCTCATGGAATTTACATTCTATCAAAATTACAGACAGTTAGCAAAATAAAAATATAGTACGTTAGATGACAATAAAGGTTATGGGGGGGGGAACCCAAGGAGGGTGGAAAAGGAAGTGTGTGTGTGTGTTTGCGGAAGGGGGCATCATTCTAGACTTCATTTCTTCCTCCCACCTCCTTAATATCTCACCTTTTCTTACCCGTCTTCAGACTTACGATGCTGCTTTAATTCACACAAATATTTAATTGGCCTCTCTCCACCCTGCAAGGCCCCAACTGATTCTCCACGTTTCTGCCAGAGGAATTCACCAAAAATAAGATCTGATTGTGTTAGTTGCTGCAATTGGTCAGCAACACAGGCTTCTCTAGCCAGATACTCTCAAGAGCTCCTCCTGGGTGAAAACAATAGTCAACAACATCTATGGTCTGAGAAACGGCAGAAGCTGCCTCTGGAAACAAAATCGCTCTGAAGGCCTTTTGGAGACATATGTTTTTAATTTTAAAATTCATGTGAATTTTTCATTCTACTCTCTAATACATATGTATTTTTAAGTGTTAACCTATTTACCAGACAAATTACTTTTTTGGCCCTACTGACACCTCCGCCCCAACACCCCCACTTCTTCCCACCCAGGAAGGTGCTATGTTCAGCTGCGGCTTAAAGCAGTTTTGTCTAAAGCATACAAAATGAAAGAAAAGCTCAAGAGGATTCACTGGGTCAAGAAAGAAAGAAGGAAGGGTAGGAGAAAAAAAGTTATGTGTACAAACACAAAATGAGAGAAATTAAGTTCTATTGCTTAGTGAGTTAACAGCACTTTTATTTCCTTAATATTTTTCATTGAAGTATAGTCGATTTACAATGTTGTGTTAATTTCTGGTGTACAGCATGATTCAGTTATGCGTGTATATGTGTACACATATATCCGGTTTCATCTTTCTATAGGCTGTTAACAAGATATTGAATATAGTTTCCTGTGCTATACAGTAGGACCTTGTTAATAGGACTTTTGTGTTACATAGCTATGATACCTTTCAAAATACCTTTCGAAAACTAGCGTTCAAAATTTTCATGATACACAAATTTTGTCGAATTTTGTATCATGATGTGCATTTGCTCTTGAAGAAATTAGAAAAATAATTGTCAAAAGAAAGGCAGACTGCCACATGCAGCGCCTCATTTGGATGTGTCTGGAGTCTTGGAAGCTTGACTACCCTACGTTCTCCTACAAATGGACCTTGAGAGCTTGTTTGGAGGTTCTAGCAGGGGAGCGCAGCTACTCGTATACCCTTGACCGAGAAGAACGGTCCTCCTCTATCGGGGATGGTCGTCCTCTTCGACCGAGCGCGCAGCTTCGGGAGGGACGCACATGGAGCGGTGAGGGAGGAAGGGGACACCCGCCTAGCCAGCCAGATCAGCCGAATCAACCCTGGCGATCAATGGGGTGACAGATGTCGCAGCCAGATCGCCCTCACATCCGAGGAAACGCTGCCGAGCATGCGCTATATAAACCTAAGGAGATTTCAAACTTTTAGCATAGGTCGAATTCTTGTTTGTGCAGGATTTCTAACAGGCATTTTAAACTAAAGTTCAAGTCTAACTAACACTTAAAAGGTCACTGAATCCCCTCAAATCGTTAAAATTGGGTGTTAAAACGGGCTTGAATTTCTGTTGTCTTCGTATTATCCAGCATGCCTTGCAGATGGGTGGGGCATGCTAAATACTGCCGTCTCTATTGGTGAAATCCTCCGGAGCCTCGCCCACCGAGAGCGCCTCTGGTGGCCCGCGGGTCCCCCAGCTGCAGACCGCTCGCGGGGCGCTTTGTGCGGTTCCCGACCCTCGGAGCGGACTCAGGTCTGTCTTCTTCCTGCCACCCCCACCCACCCCTTCCCCTCTTGTTTCTCCCGGCTTTGAGCCTCTCAGTTTCCCTCCATCCCATAGCCACCTCGCGTCCATCCTATTCCTGTCTCCCCCCAAGCTGGTCCTTTGCGCCCCCGCCTCCATCGGGGCAGACGCGGGTGGGGGTCGTGCTTGGCCCTGTGTTGAGTATCTTTATTAACCTGCTCTGTGGAGTCCGCAGCCCTGGGTGGGAGGC